AAGCCTCTATAACAAATCTTGTTTTGTGCTGCTCCAGAAAGTATGTGACTCTCCCGCCGTGTTCTATCATTACAAGAGTTATATCAGACTGTAGGTCGAGATAAAGTCATGTGGGTCTTGTGATGGCTGCTTTATGATGTTACTTCATAAAGTGATGAAAGTGGTTACCCAGACAGTCAGTTTCCAGGAGTCAAACCAACCAGTAGTTTTTTATTTTTGCCCTGTCACCTCAACCCAGGTTGAGACTAAATCTACTCCTCACCATCAGCTTACAATTCCATGGTACCATTTTCCTATGGAAATATATGTTCACCAGATATAGAAACTATCTCTGGCTCACAGTCCTCAATTCGGGAAAAACCCATGACTCGCCATTTCTTTGTTTGAGGGGAATATGTTCTTGCTAGTGACACAGAAGATAAATCCTACCTGTTTGAATCTGGAATCCTAAATATGGCTTCTCCAGAAACAATTTCTGTTGGGAAATATTACAAGTAAGACCCTATCTTTTCATTCCCTTTTGACACTGCTTGTTGTGTAGACATATGTTATAATTTCTCTGCATGGGACAAATGTAAATATGTATATATTATTTTGTGTATGTCTTAGTGGCATAAAACTCTCTCTGAGAACAAAGCATGTTTGTTATTCCTTTCCTTTCAGCTATTCCATTCCATCTGTGAAATAAGGTATTATTATATCATGGATACAATAATGATCAAAATGGTGGAACTGCAAACAGGAGAATATTCCTTTCTTTCACAGCTCACCCCTTATTTGGTGACTTACCCAATATACATTATTATTTAGTCCCCATTAAGTGTGAACCACGACACAATATTATTAGGATACCATTAAGACCAAAAATGAAATATTGCTACCATATCTAGACTGGTGCTGCCCAATCCTGAGTAAAATCTGATAGATGAATGAAAATATATAGTATTACTTAAGAATAAATATTGATACTAAATAAAATTTTATCCATATCAAGGTATTATTAAACTACCTGAGTGATACTTGGTATGCAATTGATTTGACTATGAGCCTTTTTTCCAGAAAAACTGTTTTAAGAGAAAGATTTTTAGATTTTAACCAATAGTAACATTAACTCTTCAGACAAAGAATGATGAATGTTTCCTCTTGAGACATACTTAATTTCACCATTGACATGATTCCAGAAGAATTTTCCCTGACAAATTAAACCATCAGTTAAGTTGCATATCAACTTAATTCTTAGAATGTGGCTGGTCTCACCCTGTATTCCCTGCATGGAATGTTTACATGTAATTCTTAATCATATTTAGTACTTTTTTATATACTAATGGTCACTCAATGCAAGGTCTAAGAGCCACTCAAGGTAGAGGATAAATGTGTGATTTTGCAGGTGTGTAAGAAAAAGCAAGGAATGCTGTTCAGGAAATTATATAGGAAAGATAACAGTTAACCCTGGTCAAGATTGTTGTGATTGGGAAAATATCAGTTCTACAAAACAGCAGTTCTTGAGAAGAAGTTGTCCAAGTGGAACTTACTTCTTATTAATGAAATGCAAAATAAATGAGGATGATTCATCTATCTGTACATGGCATGGTGGCTCCCAGCTGCAAAGATAGGGCTGGTGGAGTGGTGGAACCAAAGAATGTAACTTGTCAAAACACTTCCCATGGAAATAGCAATAGAGTAGCGAGAGAATTGAAATATTTTGCCTGTGGTAAAAGGGGTTGTAAAATTGAAAATAATTCATCCTCCACAAGGCTGTGTAGACACTTCTGAACTCTATTAAGACAGGCAACTCAAACCCAGATATGGCAGCAATACTCCATTTTTGTTCTGATTTGGCTTTTATAAAGTTGAAGTTGACTCAAATGTCAGATCAATGTTTTATTAAATATTATGAATCAGTTGAAACTAAGACCAAAGCCTGCGTATTTGAAATAAAACTTTTTCTAAGGAAAGGAAGCTAGGAAAATTAAAAATGAAGAATATCAGTCAACAAGACAATAAAGAAGCAGAACATATTCTATGAGATATGATATATTTTTGGCCTTAATAATACTAATGGACTATAAACCAATATGCACTGACTTATTGCACGATTAGTGTCATGGGTCCATACCTATAACTACAGAATTAACCCTTCCTAACACTATATATACTATGCCTCTCAAGAGAGAGGGACGAATTGAGTCGAGCCGATAGTAGTTCACTCCAAACCAGACTGACAGTCATACTAACACCTTCCACATCTTATATTATTATTTCGTGTAATATACCTTCGTTATTTCTACTCTTGTGTTCATGTTGTTCTTCCTTGGTCCTAACCTGGACCATAACAATTAGAAATACTTATACAGTATGTAAATATTTATAGTAATGCTCAAGTAATAACTTGAGTAGTCCTGGCTATGACAATAAACTACATCCAGCAACAAGGACTCTGATTGGGAGATTGACGGTTTTGAGAAGCATAGAACCACCTCTTAATTGCTGTTGTTCACAGGTCCATTCTAGCCCTAGGTAGTAACACCTGTTAGGGTTCCAGCTATAGGCAAATAGTGAACCCCCAAACAAAAACTAAACATAAGGAAAGTATAAAAGTACATTTAATACATTTTTATATAAAAAAAAATACAAACTCTACATATTTATACAATTATCAACAATACATTTTATCTGTAGTTGAAGGCATCTAATTGCATTCAAAATATATTTAGTTGAAGTCATATAATTGTGTTTAAAATATTTAGATTTCAGCATTAAATGACCCATATAGGTGTTGATATGCCACTAAACAAAATCAAACAACCAACATGAAAGAACTCTTTCATGACATTAATCTATATAATATCCTACAATTTCTTAAAGAAATCAAACTGTATTCCAAAATATGACTTCAATAAAACTACAACATAAAACACACATATCACTGCTTCTAGTAATCATGTCCATACAAATATATATATGCCCAAAAGCAGAGTATCATCTACCATGTATCAATTGTAAAAATAGAATAACATGCATCATATTTTATAATTTCAAAGCTCCCAAGAAAATAAAGTTTTGGCATTAAATGACCCATAAGGAGTTGATATGCCATTAAACAAACAAATCAATCAAACATAACTTGAATTTGCAAACAATAGACTGATCACACGAGAAAAACCTTCTATTTGTGTTTGAGTATTTCTAATTCAGGGTCTTGTTTGTCTTTGGTAAGTTTGTAGCAATGATTTTTGCCAAAAGAATGAGTGAGTTGAACTTCATTTCAAATAACCTGCAACTCTCATACCAGCTTATGCCAAAATTTCAATGTATCTCAATTCATACCAGCTGCAGATATTACCACTAGATAGCAAAAAGTTGATACATTAGATACAATATTCAGACTTAATTTCTTGAAACAAGAAATTGAATTCTGGCTATGTTTGTTGCATTGCTTTTTGTACAAATGCACTTGGGAAAGGGCTGAATCCCTCCAGCTGTAGATAAAATAGCAAGGCAGATTGGATTCTCTAGCTATGGTTGGCAACAAGTCTAGCAGGAAAACTCTGAATTCAAACTTAAGGAGGGCGATTTGGAAATTTTATGGCTCACTGTGCTCCATTTCTCTGTTAGCAATTTTTCAAAAAAGTGTGGCTGGTTCTACACAATCCTTTGCCACTATTACCAAATCCTATGTGTGAGTAGTCTGATGGTTCAATTATAAAATACTGGACTGTCATTTTGTATAGGACTCTCTCATTGATTTGAATATATAAGAATATATTCAAATCAATGAGAGAGTCCTATACAAAATCCATTTCATAATATTGAGCAACAGAGAATTGGTAAAATAAGAAAGCTAGGAAAGGAATGCAGAAGATTATTAGTGATTGATTGATCAAAAGATGTGCCATTCCATAGGCAGTGTGATCATTTTGTAGATAAACAGTTGGCAACTCTGACATGTTGTTTTGGTGTAAGGAATACTGTGGTATGTTTGGTGGGTCAGTCATTGTGGCTAGCAAAGTTTAATTATAAGATAGACTAGCCTTCCCCTATCCCCCCAATTTTGGCCTTGTGCTACATTTTTGTATTTTCAAAATAAATATTACTTTCCTTTATGGTACCTAAACTTTATGAATTCAAGTGCAGTACTAGATTGGCAGCAAGGTCTCATCATATTACAATTGAAATGACTAGATGTAACTGTAAGTTCTGTAGTAACAATTTCTTCTCTCACACTTTATGATACTTTGGTTCAGTTCTAAAAATACTAGACTGTCAGGCTCTTACATAAATCAATAGGAGAGTCCACTACAGAGTTAATTTCATAATATTGAGCAACAGAGAATTGGTAAAATAAGAAAGCTAGGAAAGGAATGTTGAAGATTAATAATGATTGATTGATCAAAAGATGTGCCATTTCACAGATAGGCATCGTGATAATTTTGTAGATAAACAGTTGGCAATTCTGACATCTTAATGTAAATGTTGTGAGGATCAAAAGAAAAGAAGAGATCATTTCAACAACCTAAAGAAACACTTATGATTGGTAAAAGCCAAAATGTTTGCTGTTTAGGAACAGACATAAGTGACATTAAGGAAATCGTTATTGCCATTGAAATAAATAAAATAAAACAGAAAAAAAAGATTGCTATAAAATCATGTTTAAGAGGAAATTTATTTCTTTTTAGTGAAAAGATCACTTCTTTATCCATGATAGAACCATCAATCATATTGACTATATTTCAACTTCAGCTTATGAGTGACCTCACCAAACCAGAATTCATAACCATGGCTACTGCATAAGCTCTGACAAATTGATACATCAGTGTATAGATCTCCAGAATAAGAACACAGACTAAACCGTTTCTATATTAATTCTGATATATATTGCAAGGGAAAACACTGAAGATATAGAGACATGGAAAAAGTAATTTACTAAGATGAGAATGTATAGAAAGGGCACTGATTTCTGAGTCTTCTATGATAAATTTGCATTCAGATTCTTCCAGGCTTATGACCACATCACACTGAAACATTGGTTCCCATACGATCACCAAAGTGAAGCAATGTCGATCCTGGTCAGTATCTAGATGGGTAAACACTTGGGAATACCAGGTGCTGTAAGGTTAGGTGTACAGGTGGTGTAATAGATTATGGTGGCTTGGAATTGTTCATTTGGGTTTGTTACTTATGTGAAGGTACCTTTGGGAAAGGTATGTATCCACATCTTCTCTCCCCAGCTATGGGCTAATTATTAAAACTTGTATCACCAAACTGTTATTATCGACATAAAAATTCTTACAATCTCAAACTATTTTCTGGTTTTAAATAATCTACAAAAGGTTGATAAGCTATAAAAAATGAATCACTCAATCATAACAATCAATCATAACAATCAATCAGATTTTTGTACATTTTACTTCTCTTAACAAATTTGTTGTTGTAATATGGAATATTTAAAAAGAACAGCAATAAAAATAAACAAATTAGGAAACCAAACAAGATTGGCTGAGCTGTCATGTCAAATGCTAGAAATTTCAAAATTTAGCATATATATATATATATATATATATATATATATATATATATATATATATATATATATATATATATATAGGAAAACAATGGAGTTATGGATAGTGGTGGCTCAGACTGAGGAATTGAGAGTCGAGTTCAAATTACATTCGAATCCATTACATTCACTTACATGCTAATACCCTTTGGAAAGGTATGAATGCTCTTCTTCTCCCCCCCAGCTATGGGTAAATAGCAGGACAGACTGGTTCTATAGCCTTGGATGGCAACTGGTCTACCACAGGAAGACATGGCAATGTACTACGAGAAAAAATCTGTCTCATCAGTAATGTATCGAAAGGTACATGATTACAAAAGCATGTAATACACATGGGACATAACTAAAAAAAAATATATATATGTTTATGTATATATATATATATATATATATAGAGAGAGAGAGAGAGAGACAGACAGAGTTTTGGTTGAATTAAAGTTCTAAAGATTTTTTAAAATTGTAGTCATTCATTACAATTACCATACTTGTCAGCATGTAAGAAACATTGAAATAAACAAAAAACTATGCAAATGTTACACTATACACTATGTCCAATACACTGGTATTATGAGTACCATATATATTTGTGTATAAGCCAACTTTATGTATAATACAACCCATGAATTTTTTGCATGAATTTTAACACCTCCAGAAAAAATTCACCTTTGTATAGTGCAATTGGTTAATGAAAATACATGATTTTTAACCTCTTCAAGAAAATTACCTGTGTATATTGCAATCACATTTTTTGCATAAAAAGAACTGATCATAAAACTCGCACTGTACTCAAGTATATTCAGTAAGTGACCATCTACCATGGAACAAATACATTTGACATCAATTAAAAATAAAAAGAAAATTTAGTCATTAGCAAGAGGGACAGCCAAGATGAATTATAAATCATAATTATTAATTATTATAAAATAAAACAAGTACAGAATTTAAATTCATTGGCTATATTGCCATAAATGTATTTTGGTGCTGACAGTTGTTTATCATTAAAATCCACAGACTGCAATAAGTTAACTTTTCAGTTATCATTCAAACAAAGCATCAAGAGTTTGAGATGATTTTCATCATGGTGATAATCCATTATGATGTCAGATAAGCATAAAGATAAAAATGCCAATCTTATTCAATAGTTATTAATCACCAGAAAAAATGGTTTTGATGTTTCATTCTAACATTGGGGATAATGAAGCAATTATGTACACAATAGCAAATATAAATGTGCCAAGAAATTTCCCCATGAGAAGAAATAGGAGAGAAACAAGAGAAATCATTTAAAAAAAAAAACAAAGCAAAAAACATCATATTTAAGCCTATTATCTGAGTTAGCATTTTTAAAATGATTATGATTGCAAATAATTTTTGATCAAGTGATGTTGATAAACATCAGAACGGATATATTTTTGCTGCAATTTAATTATTTCAAAGATGTGCATCTGTACATTTATAAAATTAAAAAAATATATAATCATAAAGTAATCAGCATTGGAGCTCAAAGCCATTTGACAGTTATGGTTTTAAATCCTATTTTCATTCTCGTCTAATTGGGAATAAGTTGTACAAAAATAATCTCTCTTTCATTAGAAATTTCTTAGCCAAAGCAATACAATTCTTCTGCACAAAGCATTTTATGATACTTTGACAGCCATACTGTGAATTTACATTCATAATGTTTTTTCTTGGGATTTACATTTGTCAGCAGATAAATAGAGAAGTGTAATGGACTTTTGGCAAATGTTTACTATTTAAAGTTTCCAATCCAGCTTCTTGTGAAAGCAACCCTCTTGAAAAGTAATTTTCAGACAACGAGAAAATTAGCTTACTTTCAACAGTCAATATTGTTATACTCCGTCACAATTAGATCACTTTCTAATTCATTCAGGATGCCGGCTGGATGTGAACACCCTGAAGGCAGAGAACAAAATAAAAAAAAGTTATTTTCTTCACATAGGCTTTGAGTATCACATCTGGTCTATGAAGCAGGCCCTGGCAATGAAAGCAACATTGGCCAATCATGAACATTGCTGCCAGAAAAGGAGGTGCCCCTGGGGTCTGCTAGATCAGCTTAATAGCAGGACACTCATAATGACCACAAGCAGGCCACCGACCAACATCCAGGTACTGTTGCTGCTTCTGCTACAATGGCCACTTAACCTGTATCACCCCTAAGGCCAACTATCGAGTCTTGACACCACCAGATCCTCATCATCAATGCCATCACCTTGGCAAACCTGATTCACTACAGCTTCAACACTGCCAGGCCCAAGAAGCAAACTGTTGACACCACCCAGCTAAAAGCCTTTTTTGTCACCAATGCACTCACCTCAGCAAATTAAACTCCACAAGCAAATGATTCCAACCCTGCAAGCAGCGACTCCAACTTCACAAGCAAACAATTCTACAAGGAAGCAACTCTGACTCTACAAGCATGTAACCCACTCAGGTTACCAACATTTTGTAGAAAACCAGCCAACCAGCTACACCAACCTTGTTACCTTGTCAACCCACTGCCATCACCTCAGCATAAACAACTTGCTACAGGTATTCCCTTTGCAGTCATCACCATGACTACATTTCATAAAATAGGCCTACACAGTTACCTCATTACCTCAACAACCAACACACCTTACCATGAATTAACCTACTACTGTGACCTTGATTGACCAACACAACTCTGAGCGCTACCCTTAAACTCAATCACCATCCTGACAATCATTTCACTGATTTTCTGACAATTCTGTAATACACACTATATATTAAGCAAATACTCAGTGTTCAAAAACCTAATCTTTGTTATTCCTTCCCTTTTGCAACCAAACACTTATTATAACAATATTGTAGAATATGCTGAAACTAAAAAGAAAGAATTACATAGCTGGGCTGAAAACAAAGTGTATTCTGTTGTATCAATCTCAAGTCAAAATACACATGGATTTGCACCAAAAAAAGAGACAAAAGATGGAATTAAAATAAAGGCCAGACTGGTTGCAAAAGTATTCCAAGATGAAGTGACTCACCTACTTGCTCAAAGTTGAGCCTACAAATTATCCTGATCATCAGTGTGGCTTTGAGGTGAACATTTTTTTGTTGTTTGGTGAAGTGCTGTCACTCAGTTTGTTTTAGCAAATCCTGTTTAAACATCTATTAGCAGAGTGTAGTTCATAAAAAAGACAAATGGCAAATATATGCTGAATTCCTTCTGTTTACTTGTTGTCGTGATTTAATTTAGGCTTTGTAATTGTTAAAGATTTTACTAGTATTTTAAAGTAGGATTATTAATAAATTAGAAATATTATATCTATGTTATGTTTGGTTGATGCATAAGTTTCCAGCATATATTTGACAAAACCTTTTATTCAAATAAATGGATTATTCTAAAATTTAAGCTATTATTAGAAGTGTAAAATGTAATTATAGCAAAAAGAATGGACATAATTAAAAGAGATAACAAGAGATATTAAGAGCTATAAAGGACAGGAGATTGTGGAGAGCTATGATCACCTATGTTCTGAATGGCCACAGCACATAAAAGAAGAAAAGTAAGCTTGGATAAAGGAACAGTGGAATAAGGCTTAGGGTTTGATAGCAAAAAGACAAAGTTTATTAAGTGCTACAAAGGACAGAAAATTGTGGAGAGCCATGATTGGCAATGTCCTAAAGGAACACAGCATCTAGAAGAAGAAATGAGTATAATAATAATTACTGCTTATGTTCCTCCTCCTCCTCCTCCTCCTCCTATTTTTTGAAATCACTCAGTTTTCATTCCAGTTGTAGCTGGGCCCCTCTTTTCAGTATTCTAACTGATGTTAGCATTGATGTCATCTCTGTATGGATACGGTCTTTATTTTTACTAAATGTTCACCTAATACAAGGCACAAGAGTTAATCAAGGTAGACGGTTATTAAGTGAGGTTGTTGTATGGATGTAAGAGGAAGAAGGAAGAAGTAAGTGAAGCTTATGAGGAAACATACAATAGATAATGGTTGACAGTAGACTTGATGTTAAGATTGTAGTGTAAGGGGAAGCATTCTCTTGAGAGTTTGTTCTACAAAGTAGAGTCTCTTTGGAAGCAACTCTCTGAATGGTACTTCTTTCTTATTAATGGAATACAGAGAAATTGAGGATGGGCCAATATAGCTCATTAGAACATTTTCCATAGAAATAGCAATAGAGTAGCAAGATACTTGTGTCTGCAGGAGTGGGGTTGTAGGTTGGAAAATATTTCATCACCTACCAGGTTGTCTAAATGATTTGGAACTGCAAAAAAGGAAAAAATAGTCTGCAAAAAGATATGGCAGCAATCTTTGGTCAGATCTGACTCTTGTAAAGATAGACCATGGCAGATGAAGTCAGGTACTTTCTGGAACTGTACAAGGAACCAACCCATTTTTCTGACATCTTTATTGATGGATTGTATATATGAGTACAACTTGAAGTCTCAGATAAACTTGAGGCCACGTCTCTGGTTTGTCTTTGGTTTCTTCTGTTTTATATTTTCAGATTGTCCCAAGCATGCCCATAATGATGGGTTTCATATGTCACT